TAACTCAAGAGAATAACTGTCAGGTAATTAAATGTAATTACAATTAAACTCTGTGAGATATGTAAATATCTGGTTGAAGGGTCATTTTTTAAATTCTCAACGGGACAAATATTTTGTGTTAAATCTAATAAGACATGTTCTAGCAAGTTTGTTATATATCCTGCTGTGGATGCAAAGTCGTATCATAGCTGTACAAATCATTCGCAGTAAAAAACATAAGATAAAAAAATTTCACAGAAAAACACCGTAAGTTGTGATAAACAATAACAAAACAAAAAAAATATCACAGAAAAACACCGTAAGTTGTGATAACAAACAATAACAAAACAAAAAAAATATCACAGAAAAACACCGTAAGTTGTGATAACAAACAATAACAAAACAAAAAAAATATCACAGAAAAACACCGTAAGTTGTGATAACAAACAATAACATAAAAGCAATTATGACAATCTTAAAAAAGGATATTAAAACACAAAAATATTTTGTCATATTACTCCTGTTTTTTATAACCCCATTGAATGTGATAATTCTTATTCTGAGCATAATACAAAGCCTGTTATCATCGGTTTTCTTAGCTTTCCCCAAGCCGTAGAGAAGATACACTTTATATATGGCATGCTCTGATCTTTAGGTAACGGAATGAAAAATATTCTGGCTGGTTTAAAAAAAAAAGAAACGACCTTAATCAGACTTTCGGGTCCTTTTTTAAAAGTAGAGAATGATTCAAAACAGAAAACTAATACCTAGCATTTCATATAGTTAGTACATTACAGGCAAAAGATACCTCGAACCCAGGTTAATTTGAGATATTCAGTATTAGATAGGTTAATGAAATACATGTATTCGGTTGTATTGAGTACATATCGGTAAAAGCTGTTTTACTTTAGCTTTATAATCTGTGTTTTTACTCTTACTTGATGCGTGCCAATTTTGCTTTAATATTTTAAACATTGTTTGCTAAATACATGTATATCATTGCTAGTAAAGTGCATTCTTTATACCACCGCTGTAACGTGCTG